CCAGCATTCGCTGGCTGGGGAATTCTGGGAGTTGAAGTCCAGACATCTTCAAGTTGACAAGGTTGAGAAACACTGGCCTAAAGGATGGGAGCTTTGTTTTAAAGATATGTCACTAAATGATAAGTTGTGTGTCTGGGTAAGCAGAGAAGGTGGATGAATCCTTTATATTTCATACTGAAACGGTTCTTTTTAAATAAGGGAATCACAAGATAGTTTTCATAAAGATATAATCTCATGATATCAGCCATAACATTATGTATCATGATAGCAATATATGAGGGGCTTTCACAGAAAGGAGGGTGGGGGGGGGGGCAGCCAATTTTTCAAAGCATCTGAAGGCAGGATAAGAAGAAACGGATGGAAGACTATTAAAAAAAATATATCCTGACAATGAGAAGAGTAGAATGGCTTTTGCCTCCAGAAATTGGGAGTACTCCATCTACGGGAGGTTTTTAGGAAGAGATTGGACACCCATTTGTCTAGAAGGGTATAGGGCAGCGATGGCGAACCTTTTTTGGCTTGCGTGCCATAAGTGGGGGAGCACAGGGGGGGTCGTGCGTAGGTGTGCTGTACCCATAATGCAATGTGCGACACCCCCCCCCCAGTGTGCATGCGCGCAGGAGAGGCATTCCCCCCCCCCATTTTTTGCATGCTTTTTTCGCTCCAGAGGCTTTATAGGAGCCTGGGGAGGGCGAAAACGGCCTCCCCCCCTGGAGGCCCTTCGGAGGCTTCAGGGACCTTCAGGAGGCTTCCCTGAAGCATCCAGAGGGCAAAAAAAAGGACCCTACAAGACTTCCGGTTTGCTCGTAGGGTCATTTTTTGCCCTCCGGAGGCTTCAGGGAAGCCTCCTGAAGGTCCCTGAAGCCTCCGGAGGGCTTAAACCGATCCTACCAGCAAACCGGAAGTCACTTCCCAAACTTCCGGTTTGCCCATAGGGCCGTTTTTTTGTGCTGCGGAGGCTTCAGGGAAGCTCCGGGGGGGGGGGCTCTTTTCGCCCTCCCCAGGCTCCTGTAAAGCCTGTAGAGCCTGGCGGGGGGGGGACGAAAAATGGCTTTACAAAAGGCTGGACTCAGTTGGCCAGCGCAACGCCTCACCTGCCCTGACAAATGGCTGCACGTGCCACCTGTGGGATGCGTGCCATAGGTTTGCCATCCTGGGTATAGGATCCAGAATGGTGTAGCTTGAGCAGGGGATTGGACTAGAAGACCTCCAAGGTCTCCTCCCATTCTGTTCTTCTGTTCTTTTATACTGCAAACCCAATGAGGTTATTTGATCTTAGATCTGGATTACTTTGTTTCTATTAACTTCTTGGTGTGTAGGATTAGCAGACTTGGGTTTAACGTATCATCTTCTCTGAATCATCTGTACTAGTAATCAGCATCCTTGTATGCCTGTGTAGCTCTCCAAAAACTAGAGATGGTGGTTTACTACTTCTGAGGAGTTAATGCCCACTCCCCAGCTTCACTACAGGATGAAGGGGGAATGTGTTGGTTATATTTGCCTGTCCCTTATTCTTGAGACGGACTATAGTTTATTTGCCATTTGATTAGAGAGTTTTCAAGCTTTTCTTTTTATTGTAAGTCTGAATTTGAATGATGACAATTATTCAAACAATCAACTAATCACTACTGTGTGCCAGAGACAAATACGTTGTTACTTATTCTTACTTAGCTTATTTTCTCTTCCAGGGGCTGCACAGATATCATCTGCTGTATCTTGCTGCTGGTTGCAATTGGGGGCTATGTGGCAGTGGGGATTGTGGGTATGTATTCTACTGTTTATTGTTTTTTCTCTTCCTTGGAATGTTATTTTTTTGTTGCTAGAAGTTGGATATCAAAGTTAGATGGAGAAGGAGAATTATGACAGCCAAGAAAGTACTGTATATCATCATAGAAGTAAATAAATAGGATTCAATTAATGGTATCAAATCTTAAATAATGGCTTGCTTTTTTATCATGTTGCTAATGTCTACTGTACCAAGGGTTTGACCCTTTTGTAAAAAAAATTATACTTGGTCTTTGAGAGGAATGTTGGGGGCCACATTCTAAACTGTATTGGCTAGTGTTGGAACACAGACACATCTGACTTCATTTCAACAATATTTAAATGAATTAAGACAGGAGTCCACAACTAGAGCACGTAGTTAGAAATAGGCGAGCGAGCAAAGGTTCCTCAGTGCTAGTATCACCAATTCAGCTTCACCTCAGATCATCAGGGATTAGATTCTCATAGGAATGTCAACCATACTCTAAACTGTGCATGCGAGGGAGCTAAGTTGCATGCTCTTCCTCCCTCTCCCCCCCCCAAATATACATGGGAAAATTGTCTTCCAGGAAAGGGGTTCATGGTGGCAAACTTAAATATAGACATGAATAAAAGGTTATGTTAAAAACCTACAGTCATGCTTAGAAGCTCTGTGGTGCTTCAAAATCTGGAGAAACGTTACTGGTAATCCCCAGGGTACGAGCATTCCCTTAGCAAACACTTGAAGTTACACGATAAGCGCCCCCTAATCTTTACGAACAAGTCCCAAAGCTAAGAATCTTGCAGCACCAGGGCAAGATTCACCCTTACGAAGAACCACAGAGGCTCTGCAACATTCGTCCTGCATGTTGCTGGTTGAAATGGGGGTTCCGAGGGGCAGATCCCCCCTCCAATGCTCTGGGCTTCTGCAGGCCTCCCCTGGAATATTGCGGGCCGAAATGGATCCGGCCTTCAGAAGTTCCGTTTCAGCCTGCACAGAGCTGAGGTGGCGCAGTGGTTAAATGCAGCACTGCAGGCTACTGCTAGATCAGCAGTTCAGCGGTTCAAATCTCACCGGCTCAGGGTTGACTCAGCCTTCCATCCTTCCGAGGTGGGTAAAATGAGGACCCGGATTGTTGGGGGCAATATGCTGACTCTCTGTAAACCGCTTAGAGAGGGCTGAAAGGCCTATGAAGCGGTATATAAGTCTACTGCTATTGCTATTGCCTGGGGAGGCCTGCAGAGGCCCGAATGGAGTGTTGGAGGGGCACACGAGGCTGAGAGGGAGGAGACAGCTTTGCTAGATCTTCACAAGTGACCCAGCATTGTAGGTTGGGTGGGGGGAAAGCAATTGTGGGGGGCATGATGTATTTCAGTGGGTCGGGGAGGCCTTGGGTAGCCTTAGGCAGATGGTCTGTTCCATCACTAGCCCCCCCCCCCATGGCCGCCTCCACCATGAAATACCTCGGGTGCACTTAACGAGCCTCACATTTGATTAGAGAATGCATGGGTGAAAGGTACGAGATTCACTCCCATGAATCCTTGGGTTACAAATGGAATGGGCAGGCTCCATTACATTTGAAACTCAAGGACTACCTATATTCTGGAATTGGGCAATGCCAAAAATAAATGACTTAAGTTAAATTCATCGAATTGAATTAATTAAATGTCCTTTTCAGCATGGACACAAGGAGACCCTCGCAAGGTCATTTATCCAACAGATAGTCGTGGACAGTTCTGTGGGCAAAAGGGCACACCCAATGAGTAAGTATCAAGGAGAAATTATCTAGTTTCCTCCATGAAATCTGCGCCAAGAGATTGGTGAATCTTCCGGTAAATTTTGAAGATCTCATCTGTTGAAGCTCTTATTATTCTAAAACAGTAAAATAATTGAAGGTTGATATTATCCCTTTCTGATATGTGACTGGGTTGCCAGGTGAGTTGGAATAGGATGATTCTCTGAATTTGAACGAATACGGCACTAAACATATCCAACCAAACAAGGGCTAGAATATATTTGAAGCCCCCTCTTAATGGTAATTATATTTCAGCATTTCCATTGTAACTTTGCATTAGACATCTTGGGGGGGGGGAGGTGAATGTTTTATGAAGATTTCATGATAGCATATTATAAAACAGTTTGCCAAATTGCGCACAGACCAACGTAGACTAAGAGATAACTGTCTTAACAATCTAACAACCTCTTTGCCAAGCCAGAAAAATGTGCCTTTGATTTGCAACAACTAGACGACTTCTTGGGTTACCATATTTCTGCAAAAGGCATCCAGACGGACACCCAGAAGGTTCAGGCTGTCCTAGACTGCCAAGACACCCAATACTTCCTAGGCTTTGTTAACGTCTACAGGAAATTTATAACAGGTTTTGCTCATAAAGCCAAGCCACTGACCCAATTGCCTAAGAAAGGAACTAAGTTTGCATCTTGTATTCTGTTCTTCCTCTACTGTGACTTATCACTCCACCCCTCCCCCCACCACCACCCTTGCTACTGAAAGAGATGGAGGTCAGTGAAGAGACTGCCGTGGGATGCTGCCTAAATGTCAAGGCAGTTTCTTAAAATAGCTGGGTTTTGGGCTTTGCTCATTTTGTGGGATAATTGCATTAATCTTCTACATCAAAGTTCATACAGAATTGTATGCTGAAGATATACTTCATTTATAGCTTGCTTTTTCATTCATGCAAGCAGATGAGGTTTATGACAATAACGTAAACTACCAATTGGTAATAATCATACAATTAAAAGAAATATATTATTGTTCAAATCCATTAGCACAGTGGTTCCCAACCTTCCCAATGCCGCAACCCCCAACCCCCAACCATAAAATGTCTCGGTTCCTAAGACCATCGAAAATATGTGTTTTCCGATGGTCTTAGGCGACCCCTGTGAAATGATTGATCAACCCCTAAAGGGGT